AAAATACTCACAAAATACTCACAAAATGTGATCAAATTCTGGAATTCTTCGAGACATCTTTCAGCGTCTTGTTTTCTGTTCTTGCTGAGATGCTTGGCGTGGATCAATTGGCAATTGTTTGAAATCTTCTCAACTTGTAGATAATATTCCGGACAGTGGAATGGTTGATGTCCAATTGTTTGGCAATTTTTTAAAATTCCTTCCGACAGACATACACATCTGTTCTTTCTGAAGGCCTTAGATAACTTTTTTCAATCTAGGCATGGTGATAACATGTGCTTCAGCAACAAAGAGCAAATCAAAGTAAATGTCTGATGTTTCAATAAGACACGTTCCTCCTAAATCCTGTCTAATAATCTTCAAATCATTTGTGCTTGATCCATACATCCTATTCTAATTTTGGATATCTGAGGTAGCGATAAATATAGGGGAGTACTTTTTCCACATGCAGACTTTACATTTATCTTAATCAGATAGTGGACTACAAAATATAAATGGCACATGATATTTGTTACATTGTATCCCTTTTATCTTCATTGTTGAAATGAAGATCAAATATGTTTAAAAGGTCCAAAAATTCAATGTGGTTAGACCTACTTTTTCCACATGTCTGCAATTTTAAATTACTGATTAAAGTATACTGCAAAGATGACAAATTATCACCAAGTGTTGCCAAGTTGATCAGATATAATAAATATCCCTTTGCCTGGCCATTGATAAAAGCATCAACTGAGATTCATAATGCATGTTTACATTACAATAGCATAATGCATGAAAGAGAATGGAACAAATGAGATACCAATTCTAGATACTGTCTACAAGCTGTCCTCAACTCTTCCTGCTTGTTTTTGCTATGTGCCTCTAGGAAAACAGATGGTTCACTACAGATTTATAACATGGTTCACTGTTGTTCTGTATATGTTTTAAGTTTTTAATACCTATAAGCTTTGTGAGTAATTAAAATCATTGCTAGAATCATCTTTGATGGCCTTAAGAATATACTAATTTTGACCAGCCATAGTTGCTAGCAAATTTTGGTGAGTTTCATTAGATAGACTTACCACTATATCTGAGTTAGGTGTGGGGTGAAAATTTCACCCCACATCTAACTTATGACATATAGAACAACCATGGACATGAATGTCCTTTACTGAGCCCATATTGAACTCCAGATATGCTAATTTACTGCTGTTCTGGATTGGTTTTCATGATAAGCTCCATTTCCAAAACATTTTCATTTCTTGAATTCCCTTGTTTATGTTTAAACTGCAGCAAGGCCTTCTTTCCAAGAAAGAAATTGGACTGTAGCAGTCACTTAAGATAAAACTGCGTGTTTTTCAAATCTTAAATCTTACAATTGTTCTGGGCATTATGTAGCTTCCTACCAAAGTTTATCTTTACAGTTATAACACATGTGAAGTTATATTGAAAAATGTACCTCTGTTTTGTGTCTTTGTCTTTCAGGCAGTTTGACATGTTTCAAATTCCTGTGCAAAATCTTGACAATATAAGACGATCTCGGAAGAAAGTGAAGGGTATTCTTGTGGATATTGGACTTGACAGTTGTCAAGAGTTACTTCAGGTAAAGAAGAAAACTTTTGAAAATCAGAAAGTCCTTTATGTTTGCGTACATAAAATGTTGTGACTATTCTGAAATGATCTCATGAGATCACTTGTGAAAAAATGTTTTGAGATAAGTCTTTGTCCTGGAAAAACTAAAAGTAGGCTCCTATACTTCAAATAATAGGATTTTCAAATTTCTCAATACTTTGACTGTAAAATAATAAATGAGTTTGTACAAGTTTTCCATGAATAAAATTAGCAATTTCATTAAAATTAGGATAGGTCAAGAAATATTTCACTAACTTTTAATGATTAAAATTTAATATGTCAAAAGTCTTTCATCATAAATTAAAGCCATGCTTTAGAATAACAGATTTGAAAGNTTAGGATTCCTATTATGGCTGAAAGAGGTAGATCTTTGTTATGTAGAATAGACTAACTCAGCTCTTAATGGCCCATTGACAAAGATGGGGGGGGGGGGGCTGAGATTCTGCCTTCCCTTTAGAATAAATATTCTGCTCTTCTTAAGATTTCCTAAAATATTTCATTTTTCTAGGAGAAGGGTGGGTGCTAACTTCCTACAGCACATACGTCACAAATATTCTATTAGGCTTTCTGAGATGATGGCCATCACCGATTCCCCTTTAGCTGTTGATGCCAAGCTATGAAGAGTTTTGTAACTGAAAGTAGGATCTTAAATTAAGACTGGAATCAAAGTAGAAGTTAGAGAAGGTGGTGTAATATTAAAATAATATGATAATAACACGTTGGTACCGTTGCTGAAATATTCAGAAGTAACTGAAATTATCAAAGATAGCAATATAACTTATTGCTGTAAGTAAGAAATTTCCAGGGCATGGCTAGTATAGTTGTAGTTGGCTCTCTGGCCTAAGTTCTTCCAAGTGCTTTCTGCCACAGAAAACCATTAAGCTTCTAAAGACACAGATAGATCTAGGAGTACTTTCAAACTGCCAATATCTTCTTTTAGGGGAAAGCAATCCAGACAGGAAAGCCATCCTTAAGTATGGTAATGCCACCAGCATTCTGATGATGATCCATTCTAACGCACCAGTATTTTATGTAGTTGGCAAAAACCAGGCTGCAGAATAGACAAGTATGGAGAGCCTCTGACGGATTATTTCAGAAAGATCATCTCCAAACGATTTTAACAAATCTCCTATCAAGATAAGAAAAACTTAAAAGTTGTACACTTGTTCTTGACCCATCTTTTCTGTTTGACATCTTGGAGAATGATAATGACAGCCAAGAGATCTAAAAAGTAAAAAAACCAAAAACATGATAACAAAGTCTACACTAGCGGTGATCATGTAGCATAATCCTAAACTCCTTCAAAATTATTTTTCATTTCCGAATCGTCTACACTTTTATTTAAAATTCCATTTCAGAAGCCGAACTACAATATGCTAGAAATATTCTCTTTAAAGTACGGAATTGCACCTACTTGGACTAATTCCACACCAGTGAAAACACTGTTTTGATTAGAGGTAGGATGGAAAATAATAATATTCCATGTAATACGGCATCTGGACGTACAGTATTTAATGCTCTATCTAAAAAAAATGATGCTTTGGGAAGATGGCTCTTTTAGAGTGGGCAGCTATAAGTCTAAATAAAACCAATAATAATCATGGCTGGTTTTGTAAATGTCTTTCATGTTACATTCAACAAGTAGAAACAATGGTTTGCTATTAAATGGAAAATGGAATTTCATATTATGCAATTTGGATTTATTTTAATTAATTATTGATTGTTCTTTGGATAGACCTTAAAAGTCCAAGAGCAAAGTCATACCATTGCAATTTATTGAGCAAGAGATTTCTTTGCAACTGAGATGCTCCATGAAAGTTATTTGTGATGGTATTGCCAGCTTTCATCACCCACCATAGGGCGGAAAGTAAAACCTGTCATCAATTTTTCAACATGATTCGAAATAATCTAAAGTACATTTAACACGACATTACGATGGCTTTAGCCTTCCTGCTCTTTGAGGGAAGCTCAAAGGATTGCATACTGTGAATTGGGAAGATCCTGGTTGGATCATCTTTTCAAAGCAGTAATTTCTGAGTTTCTGTAGAATGGGCACCTAGTGAAAAAAAAGGGGTCCAGGGGTTTCTTTGTCCTAAGGAAAACCACAGCATCTTGACAAGGATGGATTTCATTGGTTGTTGGGTATGAAGGGGGCTTTGAAGAATACACTGATGCAAATAAACCTTCCACAACATTCTATGAACATGAACAAGAGCACTGCTGCATGACCACGTGACAGACCCACGTGGGATGACGTCATCGCACCACACCCTCAGTGATGACGTCACAGCACCCAATCACGTTGTTCCTGTCACTTTTTGGAGATGGAAAAAGTGCCAAAGTAAAGAGAGGGAAAGTTGAGGCTACAGGTATGCAAGTGGGAGAGCACCCTGGAGGACCTCACCACGCTCCCCCAAAGCTACCCTTTGAACCTTACCTTTCCCTCCAGGGTTGATGCTGATGGAACTAACCAATAGGAGATGTGGAACCAGAATCTCTTGATTGGTCCACTGACTGATATGCAAATAAGGGGAAACGTCACTTCCTGGGACAAATCGAGCGCCATTTTCCCTTTCTGGTTCTGGAAGGAGGGAGGAGCAGCCGGAGGTGGGTGGATGGGAGCTGGGGGGCTCAGTTAGTGGTGCCCGGGGGGGAAAGCCGCGTCCCATATTGCACGGCCGGTTGGGCGACGCCACCAAGGCAATGATGCTGCACCGCCGCCGCCCGGGTTGCTGAGGTGCTTGGAGCGCGCGCTGCAGGTCGAGGCGAGGAGGCGGAGCCGGGCGGGGCGGCCGCTGACTGAGGGTCCCAGGAGCAGATAGACAGGCAGGAGGAGGAGGAGGAAGAAGAGGAGGAGGAGGAGGAGCGCCGGCACCGGCACCGGGCGAGATTGCAACGCGTCCGCCCGCCTCGGGGAGTCGCAGTCGAGGAACGGAGCGAACAGGCGGCGGGCGCCCCCTGCAGCCGGGACAGGTAAGTGCAGCTGGACGCCGCGCGCCCTGCGAGAACCTCTTGGCGCACCGCACTTTCCCGAAGCTCTGACGGCAGCCCCGCAGGCTGTGAAGCCCCCGCTCCCCCCTCCGGGCTTGCTCGCTGTCTTCAAGGCAGCGGTGGAAGGAGAGGAGGCCCGCCCTTGCAAGGCATCTGCGCCCCGGTCCTGCTCGGGCTGCTCGACCTGAACTCGTTTTGTTCACCGGGCGCCAGACTGCCTGAAGCTTTGGGAATTTTGCGGCGGGAGGGGGAAGGTTTCCCCCTTCCCTCCACGCGTGGGAGGCGCGGTGCCGGTATCGTTTCTGTGTGACTGAGCTGATCCCGTCCACTCTCCTGACGTTTGGACTGGAGCTCCCGGTTTGGGGAAAGAAAACTTCCTATCTTTCTATCCGCAAGGAGAAGAAACTAGGAGGGGGCTTCAGTGGTTTTCGCTTCTAAGGATAGGATAAAATAACCTGCCTGTGCTGTTCAACTGGTGGTTTCTTCTTCGTGATATTTTATGGTCTACCACAGTGTTTCTCAACCTTGGCAACTTGAAGATGTCCGGACTTCAACTCCCCGAATTCCCCAGCCCCCAATTGCCCGCCTGGGGAATTCCCGGGGTTTAAGCCGGGCCTCTTTCA